GGGGGTGCAGCCCTCTTATAAATGTCTGGGTGGGTGGGGCTCAGGATGTCTTGGCTCTAGCCTCAGGTTCCAGTGCCTACTGGTGACAAGACTCTCCTGCTGTAACTGAGACCAAAACACTGTCTAATGAATAAATGGACATGTTTCATCATAGGTCCACAGGGCCTAACTTCCACCAGCAACGCTGACATCCTGGCCAGTCTGCTACTGTTTGTGCGGGTTTTCCTAACTCAAGCATATCCTGAAGTTTTCTTCAGCTCTTTTAGTAACAAGTAGTTTACACTTCTACATTCTCTATCTAAAACGGTGTTTACCTTAGAGCCGCAGTCTTTCAGTCTCACTTACAGTATGACAAATATAGAAGAGAGTCAGTTCAAACCAGGACATTTTTATTTAAGGGGAAAAAATTGCCGGTGTTTATCACAAAGGGTCTAAAAAGGGATGGCGGTAATCATCACGAAGTATTTGTTACAGAACTGCCAAAAGCAGTGATTCTCAGAAAAGGTGCATTCGTGCCCAATCTGCGACCTATTGAAAAAAAAAAGTTCGTTCATTCTTTCGTTCCTTGAATGTCATACGTCAGTTATTCTTAGTGGAAAATAGATAACTGAAGATTTGCTATAAGCATAGAAGCCATAAAATACCTCACTACAGGAAGGGCTAAGTCGGTCAATAAATAGTGGCATAAGTTGAATGTGTGCCAAAAACCGCGAATATCGCAGCCGTGCTGTGAACTGAGAATAGAAACGTGTAGTCCCTCTACTGATTAAACGACAGCACTGAATATAGAAACCATATAGTACTGGTGCTGAGTTCAGGCATTGATTAATACAAGTACTAAGTACAGGAACGGTATGTTACAACTACAGGGTGTAGTATTTCTATGATACCACTACTGAGTATAGGGACGGTATGTTACAACTACTGGGTGTAGAATTTCTATGATACCACTACTGAGTATAGGGACGGTATGTTACAACTACTGGGTGTAGTATTTCTATGATACCACTACTGAGTAAAGGGACGGTATGTTACAACTACTGGGTGTAGTATTTCTATGATACCACTACTGAGTAAAGGGACGGTATGTTACAACTACAGGGTGTAGTATTTCTATGAAACAACTACTGAGTAAAGGGACGGTATGTTGCAACTACTGGGTGTAGTATTTCTATGATACCACTACTGAGTACAGGGACGGTATGTTACAACTACTGGGTGTAGTATTTCTATGATACCACTACTGAGTACAGGGACGGTATGTTGCAACTACTGGGTGTAGAATTTCTATGAAACCACTACTGAGTGACAGTGTAGTGGTAGTACTGAGAATAGATTCTGTTTAGTGCCAGTCCTGATCTGGAGGGCTGCTGTAGTGTAGTGGAGCGGAGTTGTAGGTGAGTCTCGCCCAAGATTTGTCCTAGTCTCTTTGTATTTTGTTAAGTAAACAGAATGCAGATATGTACATTCTATGCAAGATTTAATTACCAAAAGTATTTGACAAAAATTAATGCGCAAAAATAAAATACATGGCGGGGGGGGGGGGGGGAGAGACAACTGTTATCTCCAATCGAACCCAGATGTGTTGAACAGGATATCAGAGTATAAACTACTACTACTACTACTACTACTACTGCTCGTGCTGCTACTGCTACTACTATAGGAATAGTAACTAAGAAACTATACACGGGGAGTAGATCAGACATCAAGAAGGAGATTTTAACACTAACAATAACAACAGATGCCAGATCACCATAGTATGGGTACCAGTGCATAAAGGCATAGTTGGTAATGAAAAGGCGAATATTTTTGCAAAAAGAGGTACCAGCAGCCATAATATAACAGAAACAGGCCTTGGAAAAACCAAAGGGCTGAGTCAAATAAAACGGTCTATTACACGAGTGTGGAAGAGACAATGGGAAATGAGTACTGCTGCCAAAAGGGCGTATGAATATTTGAGAGAGCCCAATATAACATCAAACATGTATGTTATGTGTGTGTGTGTTTGTGTGTGTGTGTTTGTGTGTGTGTGTGTGTGTGTTTGTGTGTGTGTGTTTGTGTGTGTGTGTTTGTGTGTGTTTGTGTGACTTTACATGTATGTCCTATATGTATGTGAGTGGTTGTGTTTAGTGCATGCCGACCCCCCCTCCCCAACAGCCTTCACTAAGTGCTAGAGTGCCGCTCCAAGCCGCCACTAGTTTTGGTGCAATTGACATTTCTTAGCCGACATAATTAGCACAATGAAACCAGACGACAATTATAACCGATACTGCTAGCAGGTAGAAATTGCCTGTTTCCTCCCCCTCCCCCCCCCACCCCCCTTTTTTCCTAACATAAATGGATGGATGGGTGGATAATTGGACTGTTGATCAGGTTGTAACTGGTATTATTAGCATATAGACACTTCGCTGGCTACTGTTGGAGAGACGAAGCACATGCGGGAGTATGCTGAGTGCAGGGATGTCAATGCTTTTTTTTTTCATTTAATAATTCATTTTTGGTGCGAGTACATTATATTTTGGTTGAGCCATTTCACGTACTTTTTTTTTTTTTAAACTAAATATGTAGTCCCACATGCATATTATTAAAAACTGTTCCACTAATTTCCGTGGCGTGAATTTCAAAAATAAAAATAATATAAAATTAGCTTTTAAAGTTGAGAACCGCTCTAAAACACATAACTTCACTAACACAAAGTAATATGGCTACCTATTTTTGTAGTGGGAAAATATGTACCGGATAATAGATCATTAGGAAAATGGCACTGAGGGGAAGAAACTATGGCGATGAAAGGTAATCGAGGTAAGCAGGCAAGGTGAAGAGAGATTGTCCTGTTTGTTTGAGAACTGGCGAAGAAGAAAACAAAAGCAGAAGAAACATTTGACAGTATACATTAGTGCTATTTTCTTGACTTTGTGAAGTGTGTCCCGAACTTGCTGGAAACTGCGGACTATGGAAGAACTCCTGCCCTTGAGCCTCCTTAGTACAGGTGGTGTGTTATTGTGGGAGATCACTTGAGTCACACTGTTGAGTTTATTTGAGTCAACAATTGACTACACAGCACTCCGGGCATTCCCATGCTTGCTTCGTCCTCATCTTCAGCAGCCAGAGCAGAGTTCCAATACTGATGGTACCGGTCACAATCTGGTTAAATGTCCTTCTTGCCTTTCCTCTGAGTATAGCCAGGCCCTCTGGTTACACCCAAGTGCCTTATTCTCTCTAGGCCATAATAATATTGTTTCTCTACGTCTTCAGTATTGATTCACACATTACCTCTCTAGACTTCTTGTTTGCTGATATTGTTTACTTGGGTTATTTGTTGTTACTATTTTTTTAATATCATTTTTATTTCTTTTCTGTCCGTTATTTGGGGAATATCATGATTTTGAATATTAAATGTCATACATGGGTGGGGAACTTAAATGTATGTTTTGCACTAATACTTGTTTCACCAGGAACCTAGATTATGTATGTAACTCTTGTCCGTTGCTAACCCTGTTTTTTTTTTTTTTTTTGTTTTTTTTTTTTTTTCACTGCTATTGTTCCAAATGTTTCGAAAACGGTCAGTTTTGTGAAAGATTATAACCAAAAATGTCACCTCTTTCTTCCCCTCCCCCCCCCCTCTCTCTCTCTCTCTCTCTCTCTCTCTCTCTCTCTGTGTGTGTGTGTGTGTGCGTGTGTGTATGTATATATGTATGTACACATGGGTGTTGGCATGCTTGTGCTTTTTCGACATATCTTATAATACTGTCTGCAATGTTTTCCTGATACGGAGTCATGAGCTTTTTATGAACAATTTATAGTTGGTATATACCATTGATTATTATAATTATGAGGTGCTTGTCATTTTGTCTAAATATTTATTATTTCCAAATAATCCAGCATAGCATATATTTGGGAAATGAGCAGGCGAATGGACTGGCCGGTTCTGCACCACTTGGTGGTGAATTGATATAAGACAAGCTGGATGTTGTGAGGGCCCTTTGGGAGCGAGTGAACAGTGCCGAGGAACAGATAGATCATTACGGTCTGAGGATGATGGCACTGAGAGGAGTTACAAGGGGATCTAGCCGACGCTCGACAGTCGGAGAGGGGCGAGACCGATATACGATCAGACTGTAACTGGTACCATCGGAATTTTAACTGTTCGCTTATAGGAGTGTTCCGAGTGCTGTGATGTCGATTCTAAATTCAACATTCAACGTTCAACATTTAACATATTATTTCCAAATGTTTTTATATTTCTGTGTTAGCCATTACTGATATTTTACAGAGCAGAATGAAAAATTTTTTCTATATTTTTCATATAATCTTGTTAAGTTTTGATTGGGAAAATGTTTAGTTTGTGTGAAAATTTTATTTTCATTTTATGAATGAAATTGTACATCTAGTTCTATGTCATATGGACTGTTTACCCAATCTCAGTTTTTATAAACTATTTGTTTTAAAGGTTTTAAAGTTTCGTGCTGGGTATCGATCTCAAATATTTTAATTGTATGTTAACTATTTTTATCGAAAATAACTCCGTTTTGATGCACTGTGTATTTTAATCAACTGATACTCGTGCGTGAAATATGTCTGCCAAAGGTGAGACAGTTAGTTGTTCATGAAATATGATGCCTACACACTACCTCTTCAGGGTGATACAGTTGTTCATGATATATGATGCATACACACTACCTCTCCAGCGTGACACAGTTGCTCATGAAATATAATGCCTACTACACACTACCTCTCCAGGGTGACACAGTTGCTCATGAAATATAATGCCTACTACACACTACCTCTCCAGGGTGACACAGTTGCTCATGAAATATAATGCCTACTACACACTACCTCTCCAGGGTGACACAGTTGCTCATGAAATATAATGCCTACTACACACTACCTCTCCAGCGTGACACAGTTGCACATGAAATATAATGCCTACTACACACTACCTTTCCAGGGTTACACGATTGTTCATGAAATGTAATGCCTACTACACACTACCTCTCCAGGGTGGTGGCCGTGGTATCTCCATTGAAGGCTCGAACCGTCTGCACCATGCGACACGCAAAGATCGTGGTTGTGCTTGTATGGATACTCTCCACCATTTGTGCTTTACCAATCGTGTTCGGCATGGTAAGTTGGCATTTGTCTTCGGTATGTATCTTAGAGAAGATTTAAAACCCAGCGAAAAGTGTATTAGAAAGCTTCACAGTATAACAAATACAAACAAAACGTGAACGTTGGGGCTATGGCACCTTCATCAGCACATACAAATCAAACAATACTACACAAATACACAAAATCACTTAGCTGATATCTCAAAGCAGCCGGGTCGATGTTTTCTCAGCAGACTGCCTACAGGCGGGAGCTAGGGGAATAAATACCCCCTGTGGAGTACCAGGGGCCATAACTAGGGGTTAGAGATAAAATTGTGAGGGCAGTTCAATCCCCTAGGAGTTTAAATGAAACTGTTGGCAATTTAGTCAGGATGGTGTTAAAAGTCCACAAAGTGTAAAAAAGCGATTCTCAATAGACTTGCGGACTGTCGCTGGAGTCCTAGATTTATCTTAGAAACGCACGGTTAGTTACATACTATACTTCTTCAAAATATAAACTGTTTCAGACAGTTCGCTGCATAAAGCATTTTCTGTGTATAGTATTATGAACACAAAGCTAGTCCGATAATTTCCGACAAATAATTTGCCACGTAAAACATTTAGTACAGATAATGCTTTGGACACAAAACATGTCAGAAGATACATGGTGGACAGATAGCAAGTCAGACAAAACTATCATCATCAACATCATCATCACCCTCAACATCACCATCATCATCAAGTGTCTTGTCAGCTGGCGTAGGCGTTCATGCATCTCCACAGATCTCGGTCTTTGGTGTTCTGGATCAATTCCACTGATGATATTTCTTTATGCCTCTGTCTTATGCCATCCACCATCGTTTTTCTTGGTCTGTCTCTGCCTCTTCTACCAGCGATCTTTCTAGTCGTTACGACATTTTCCGGAACTCCTGTTCTCATCACCTGACCATCACACAACAATGAGAAGGAGACAAAGTTATATATATATATATATATATATATATATATATATATATATATATATATATATATATATATATATATATATATATATATATATATATGGACAAAACAATACGCGCACAAACGTCAAGAAAAACATTTGGTATTTAGAGTATATCGGATATGTTGTCGCCAGCTAGATAACAGTCACTCCTGTGTCGATGACATTTATGTTCCAGTATTTACATGCTTCGCTGCATTTGCATGGGCAGACATTGTATTGTTCGTATGTTATTTAGAGCTGTTTGGTTTATTTTGGTTCAAATCGATTGACAGGTTCGCATACAGATGGAACCTCGTTTGTAGTTTAGGCAAAGTCAATGAGGCAGCTTTTTCAGGTCACTGGCTCGTCGAGTATCTGGTGCTCGACTCAGATTTGCATATACCAGTTGGCACTGACTGGATGGTCAACTCCGTGCTGGCTGCGTTTACTTCACAGAGCATTTCCTAGTGCTAGTTTTGAACTGAGTCAAAATTTAAACCGAAGTCAGTTTTAATAATTTCCATCTCCATAAAGATTTGAACCCAAAACCTTCAGATCTACAGGTAGGCGTCTCTCCCCACTGAGCAACCCCCGCTCTAGTCTGTATATCTCAGTTCTTTCAGTCACAAAAACTACGTGATTGTCTGTTACTCGCGTCATGACGTCATCACTCTCTGGCTCTCTATATTTGGTCTGTGTGTAGTAAAGAAATCTGCCGTTACCGATAGCCTCGTCTATTGTATTTTAAAGTTATACAGTCGTGATTTCAGGGCCGCGCAGTGCTATGATACATAGATTCGGCCGCATCATGCGGCACCGTAAGGGTGCGTAATAACCAGAGAAATCCAAATACAGTTCGAACTTTTGATCTGACAGCGGAAAGCTATCAGGGGAGCGTATAGAGGACTTGCGTTATACCTAGAGCATCAACCACACGGGACTGCGTTATTTATAAATTTAATTATTTCTTAGAATGCACTTGGTGTCTGTACTTGCCTTTCGGTACTGAAAGAATTAATGAACAATGAAAATCAAAATGTAGCTTTCAATGTCTCCTGCCATAGGTTCACCTAGAAGTAGGCTACAAGGTCAAGGCTCACTGGTGTATCAAGCACTTCCCAGACCAGCGTCTGCACATTCTCTATGAGATCTATATGCTGGTTCTGATGTTCATCATTCCTGTTGTCGTCATGGTTACAACCTACGTTATCATCTGCATCCAGGTGTGGAAGTTCACAGACATGAGAGCCGACATGAGACACGGCAGGTGAGTGAACATATACAGGAGAAACATGAAAGATCAGTGAACATATAAGTGAGAGTCATTGGAGATAAATGAGCATATACTTGAGAGTCATGTGAGATAAGTGAATATATATATGTGAGAGACATGGGAGATCAGTGAACATATACTTGAGAGTCATGGGAGGTAAGTGAACATATATATGAGACACATGGGAGATAAGTGAATATATACATGAGAGTCATTGGAGATAAGTGGACATATATATATATATATATATATATATATATATATATATATATATATATATATATGAGATACATAGGAGACAAGTGTACATATACGTGAGAGTCAAGGGAGATAAGTGAATATATATATGTGAGAGTCATGGGAGATAAGTGAACATATACATGAGAGACAGGGGAGATAAGTGAACTTTTAGATGATAGAATTGGGAGACAAACATATAAATGAGAGATATTGGAGATAAATGAACATATACATGAGTGACATGGGAGATAAGTCAACATATACATGAGAGACATGCAAGATAAGTCAACATATAGATGAGAGAGATATGAGCAGATACACGAGGGACATGGATGATAAGTGAACACACACATGATAGACATGGGAGACAATTGAACATATAGATGAGAGACCTGGCAGACGAGCGAACATATACATGAGAGACATGGGAAATACCAGTGGTGCAGACCCAGCCAACCTGTCTCCCTGTTCATTACCCACTACGCTGGCATGGCGTGGAGAAAAGATCCAAAGTATGCTCACTAACCGTGACCTTTTTTCCAACGAAGCTTGCTACTCTTGTCGAAGCATCTATGTCTTCACCATTTTCAGCATGCTTTCAGAGTCTGTTACATTTACGACATTTGCATGTATCTTTTTCTCTAGCCACCGGAGAGCTACAGTTACCACCTATACCTCCATTCTCATGCTAGATGTTGTGATGTCATATGCTAGGCGGTCTTGCACTAAAGATTTTTCATTGGCTTTCGCTACTAATCCCCAGGCACTTCTCTTTCCTCTCAGCACCGAACCATCTGTATAGATAATCAGATCACCTAAGCGTGAATTGTCATGAATCAACTGTTGGACTTCAACCTCCGTAGCACCCACTGGCCATGGGAGATAAGTGAAAATGTACATAAGAGAGATGGGAGACAAGTGAGCATATGTGTCATATATGTGTACACATATACGCGATTCGTGGGAGGTGTCTACATAAAGCATACGACATGAGAGGTGTCTACATATAGCATTAGACATAGGATGTGTCTACAGATAGCATAAAACATGGAATATGTCTACATATAGCATAAGACGTGGGAGGTGTCTACATATTGCATAAGACATGGGATGTGTCTACATATAGCAAAAGACATGGGATGTGTCTATATATAGCAGAAGACATGGCAGTGTCTACATATAGCATAAGACAGGGCAGTGTCTACACATAGCATAAGACATGGGAGTTAACTACATAAAACAAAAGACATGGGAGGTGTCTACATAAAGCATAAGACATGGGAGCTGTCTATATACAACACAAGATATGGGAGGTGTCTACATGTAGCATAAGACTTGGAAGGTTACTACATATAGCATAAGACATGGGATGTGTCTACGTATAGCATAATTCATCGGAGATGTCTACATATAGCATAAGAAATGGGAGCTGTGTATATACAGCACAGGACATGGGAGGTGTCTATATATAGCATAAGACATTGGAGATGTCTACATATAGCATAAGAAATGGAAGCTGTCTACATATAGCATAATTCATCGGAGATGTCTACATATAGCATAAGAAATGGGAACTGTCTATATACAGCATAAGACATGGGAGGTGTCTATATATAGCATAAGACATTGGAGATGTCTACACATAGCACTAAAAATGGGAGCTGTCTACATTAGGCATAATTCATCGGAGATGTCTACACATAGCATAAGAAATGGGAGCTGTCTATATACAACATAAGACATGGGAGGTATCTATCTATAGCATAAGACATGGGAGCTGTCTATATACAGCATAAGACATGGGAGATGTCTACACATAGCATAAGAAATGGGAGCTGTCTATATACAGCATAAGACATGGGAGATGTCTACATATAGCATAAGAAATGGGAGCTGTCTATATACAGCACAAGACATGGGAGATGTCTACATATAGCATAAGAAATGGGAGCTGTCTATATACAGCATAAGACATAGGAGATGTCTACATATAGCATATGAAATGGGAGCTGTCTATATACAGCATAAGACATGGGAGATGTCTACATATAGCATAAGAAATGGGAGCTGTCTATATACAGCATAAGACATGGGAGATGTCTACACATAGCATAAGAAATGGGAGCTGTCTATATACAGCATAAGACATGGGAGATGTCTACATATAGCATAAGAAATGGGAGCTGTCTATATACAGCATAAGACATGGGAGATGTCTACATACAGCATAAGAAATGGGAGCTGTCTATATACAGCATAAGACATGGGAAGTACCTATCTATAGCATAAGACATGGGAGATGTCTACATATAGCATAAGAAATGGGAGCTGTCTACATATAGCATAATTCATCGGAGATGTCTACATATAGTATAAGAAATGGGAGCTGTCTATGAACAGCATAAGACATGGGAGGTGTCTATATATAGCATAAGACATGGGAGATGTCTACCTATAGCATAAGAAATGGGAGCTGTCTATATACAGCATAAGACATGGGAGGTGTCTGTATATAGCATTAGACATGGGAGGTGTCTATATACAGCATAAGACATGGGAGCTGTCTGCACACAGCAAAAGACATGGGAGGTGTCCACATACAGCATGAGAAACGGGAGGTAAGTGTCGGTTTTGCACTTGTCTGACCGCGGCTTCTTATTCATTTGACAATTCTTGTGACGTCAAGAGTTGCGTCATGGGTGACATTCCAGCAGGAAAAGCCCAGATACCTGGTTCAACCTCAACAACAACAAAAAAGAATTAGTATACGCGTAGCAAGGGGTGTAACCTACTGTCTCTGTGTGAGTAAGGGTTGGTTTAGAAGGTTAGGGATAAGAGCATAAAAACTACACGACTTTACATCTGAAACACGGTGGGCGCAGGTTACATAAAACTGCAGTTGCTTACTTCTAACAGAGTCATCGTTCCTACAAACAAGGAGCGTATTTGGCAAGACAACACCGATGCAACTTTGGATGGGGAATCGAGAATGCCACGCATTGTTAGAAAGAAAGAAGCTGCATCAGATGATACTAAAGCCACCAAACAGGTAGTAGAAAGTTTGTGTTTATGTGAATATTTGTAGAGGTTGACATTTTCAACTATTTACAGGTTGTGACATATTTGATTTTCATTTAAACGAGGATTGGTCTTTCTCCTTCTCCCATGTATCGCAAATGGAGCTTAGGGATCAGATGAACTTATTTTTATAGACGATCACGTTTGTGGAAAAGTTTTTAGCACTAATCTTTTCAAATCTTAAGAGTCTCCCTCCTTATTCTTCTTCTTCTTCTGCTTCATCTTCTTCCTCTTCTTCTATTCTTTATCCCTCGCGTGGAGCACGGGCACTAAAAGTAACTAGCACTAAGTAGCTCTATTCTCTGACATCACTACTGCTCACCTCATGTTCTCCTCCACCTGTTCCAGCTGCCTCTAAATCTATTCTCTGTGGGTTTTTGAATCTTCCACTAAATCTCTATGGCCCTGTGGGTTCCAGTGCGGGAACTTTTTAGAGATATTATTATGAAGTTTTAATAACGTTTATCTTATCCACCATCAGCGTACAGCTTGAATCATTACATTTGTCTGGCTGTCTACTAAAGCTCCTCAATGATAATGTAACTTTTTTGTTCTATTCCATCTGTTATCCCCAGGCATGTCTGCAGTTTACTAGTAATTAGTTTAGTCCTTTTCTGTGTTTCTGTTTCACATGACCCAGCCGGTTTGACTGTAAGAGTTAAATTGTTTCAATCTAGTGTTTGATCTAATTGTCACAGACTTTCATATCTAAAACACATCCATTTTCTAGAAAGTAAAATCTCCACAATACAAAGCTTATCAGTTGAGAACCGACAGCATAGTACTTTAGACATTACCATAAGCATTCTATCCCTACCTTCAGCAGCCAGCGCATAGTTGCTGTTTCCATAATCTTCACATCGTTTCGCGAGTTTACTGTGAGATTATCGTTGTCAACGTGATTTACGTTTATTTGCCGTTTTATCTGTTGACTTGTTTTCTCTACAGCTATTGTCATGATGGTGGTGGTTGTCATTCTGTTTGCCGTTTTATCTGTTGACTTGTTTCCTCTACAGCTGATTGTCATGCTGGTGGTGGTTGTCATTCTGTTTGCTGTTTTATCTGTTGACTTGTTTCCTCTACAGCTATTGTCATGATGGTGGTGGTTGTCATTCTGTTTGCCGTTTTATCTGTTGACTTGTTTCCTCTACAGCTGATTGTCATGCTGGTGGTGGTTGTCATTCTGTTTGCCGTTTTATCTGTTGACTTGTTTCCTCTACAGCTATTGTCATGATGGTGGTGGTTGTCATTCTGTTTGCCGTTTTATCTGTTGACTTGTTTCCTCTACAGCTATTGTCATGATGGTGGTGGTTGTCATTCTGTTTGCCGTTTTATCTGTTGACTTGTTTCCTCTACAGCTATTGTCATGATGGTGGTGGTTGTCATTCTGTTTGCCGTTTTATCTGTTGACTTGTTTCCTCTACAGCTGATTGTCATGCTGGTGGTGGTTGTCATTCTGTTTGCCGTTTTATCTGTTGACTTGTTTCCTCTACAGCTGATTGTCATGATGGTGGTGGTTGTCATTCTGTTTGCCGTTTTATCTGTTGACTTGTTTCCTCTACAGCTGATTGTCATGCTGGTGGTGGTTGTCATTCTGTTTGCCGTTTTATCTGTTGACTTGTTTCCTCTACAGCTGATTGTCATGCTGGTGGTGGTTGTCATTCTGTTTGCCGTTTGCTGGGGTCCAATTCTGATCAACAACCTGCTAGTCGCCTATGGTACCCTCCACAACTTGAACTACGGATATCTGAAGCCAATGAGAGCTGCATTCAGTCTGCTGTGCTACATAAACAGGTAGGTGTGTGTGTGTATGGTGAGTGCCACGGGTAGTCTCACTTTGTTCACCTGGTAGTGACATATCCCTCCATTTTATCATTTGTTAAATATTTCAAATATATAAAGTATATAAATTCTATCCGTCTCCACCAAGCCAATCAGTACCTCTAGTTTTATTTATTCTAATATATAGCCCCTACAACTGCCCGCACTTGCTCACCGCCGCCCCTGAAACCCTCAGATTTTCTACTCTGTCTGCTCCACCACTCACAGATACACAAGGGCCTCAATCGAGACCGTCTCCATTTGACGGGTATGCTGCTGACGTCACTAAACCGGGCTAACGATATGTTAACTTTTTACTCTGACAGTACCGTTTTTTTCGGTGTTTTCCCTCTCGTCTCCCACACAAATTCTAGTTTACCCAAAGTCCAGAATTATAGCTGTAATTGTTTCCCTCCACAGCTGTGTCAATCCCATCGTCTACGCCTTCATGTCCAAGAATTTCCGCCAGTCGTTCAAATTTGCCATCTGCGCCTGTGTGAAAGGCAAGGCTTTTGTCAGGGCCTACAGATTCAGCATGTCTATCACCAACAGTACCCGCGCTTCCACGCTCTCCAACGGCAGGGGAAGGCATGAGGCCGCCCAGTACCGGTACGTGTCTCTGCCAGACGGCTTGTCTGTAATTGCCTGTTTTACATATTTCTTATTTCTATCAGACACGCTAGATACGCACGCATAAACTCAGAGTTTGGCAATGTTGTTCACTGACCGAAAAATAGCATCTTCTTCAGTTTTGCAAACATTAATGGCTGTTAGCTCATAAAGAATATATTTCCACTTATCATTGAGTTTTTCCGCTGACTGCAATTGTGAGTGTGTGCGTATGTATATATGTTATCTTTTTCTCTTGGTGGGGGTGGGAGGCTGAGGGGTCTCGAGGCATGGCGTCCGCCTCGAGTGCTGAAGGTACAGGGCTCAAGCTCCGGTTAAGGTTGTTCCGGGTTCAAGCTCAGGTGAAGGTTGGGGTTTGTACACGCGGATTATAGTAGTTTCCCCTTGTCTCTGTGATGTAAAATCGGACACCCGTGTGTATTGTTGCCCACGTAAAAAATCCCTTGGCAGTTGGAAATTGAAAAGAATAGCCTAATGGGGCTTCCGGGGCAAAATTTAGAGTTAAAAATTTACCCAAAGTATCTTAGGATCATCGCCGATGCTACGGGGTTTGTGCACTGCGCTGAAATTCTTTGGACTCAGGTTTTAGTTAGAAGTAAAACGGAGCACTTATGGGTTACTCTACCCTTGTGCCGTGATGCTGACCCGTTGTAAAAATCAACCAAACATCTGCATCTTCGTCAGTTTCAGAAGGGTTAAAGGTTATCAGTTCAGGGAGATTCTGTTTCAACTTGTCTGAGAGTTTTCTATGCTCGTCAGTTACCTACTGACTGCAACTGTGAGTATTCGTTCGTCTTCTGTGACACTCATTTCATATACAGTATAGGTCCCTTTATACACCAGTGGCACATTGGGCATATGAGGTTAGACTCATAGTTGTATAGACCTCGGTGGGTCAACATCGAATTTACTTCACAGGACTTTACCTAGTAACTATTTAAGGCTGGGTCAAGCTGGAAGATAAGGTCATGGTTGAAAACAAAAACTTCCAGTACCATGAGGATTTGAACCCACGTTCTTCATATCCGCAGGCCAGCATCTAGCTGCTACAGCATGGCGGCTCACGGCAGTCAAGCTGTGCGTGTATGTATTATGTTTGAGCAAGGCAATTGTCTTTAAGAAGAAATATCTTGTAAAATATCAGAAATATCTGTGGGAGCTCATTGTGCTGGGCTTTCTCCCACTTGCTCGTCTTTCACTGCACAGCGCTTCGAAAGAGAGACGAACAAAGCACGAGCTCCTTAGATATCTGAACTATCTCCAGACCCGCGAATCGAATACAAAAGTGCGATACCCAGTTCATGAAGCCGACGATTTGATGAGTTCGCCTAGCAATAAGTAAACTGTATTTGGGAAATGTTAACAGCGCTGAAGATCGTGCAGCTGTTCTCGAACATGAGAAGTCAGCTGTGTGTGGATAATGTTACAACTCTGAGGATCAAGTCACTTGTCTCGAACATGAGAAATCAGCTGTGTGTGGATAATGTTACAACTCTGAGGATCAAGTCACTTGTCTTGAACATGAGAAATCAGCTGTGTGTGGATAATGTTACAACTCTGAGTCACTTGTCTCGAACATGAGAAATCAGCTGTGTGTGGATAATGTTACAGTACTGAGGATCATGTCACTTGTCTTGGAAAATAAGAAGACAACTGTGTATGGAAAATGTCAACAGCATTCAAGATCAAATTCCTTGTTTTGAACATCATAATTTAGCTGTGTTTGGATAACAGCAATGAAGATCAAGTCACTTGTCTCAAAATTAAGCTTTTCATGTGCGAGATTATGGCGTTCTGGGTCTCAAGCAGGCATTTGATAGTGTAAAGATTTCAGTTTGTAATTTTTAGTGATTATCTTTCATTGGACTTTCTATCTGCATTGTAATAGCCAAGGGAAACCTTTACACCGCCAAGAAAATATAATCACCTGTAAACAAGTGGTCTAATCTGTATGTTCTATGTATCACTATAATTCCAGTCACACCTCTACAGAATATGCATTAATTAGGATTATGCTACTGTCCCTATCTGTTTCCTCCGACCATGATTGCATTCTGTACTATTAACATCTCATTGATGAGACTCAGACAGGAGTATACCTCGGAAACATCGTTCAGTCGAATAACAGTTATGTTGGGACACTTTGAAGGCACGCAGTTACCTGTGTTAACTAAGACTGGGTGTATTATGAGTAGGATAATGAGATTTTGAGCATGCATTGAATATTAAAATTGTCGTCACTTCTTTGTTTGGTGTGTACTTCTCAACATTCTCGAACTGTATTGCTTAATTGTCTACATGGCTTGTTCTCACAGAGATAAGAGCAGCAGTAGTGGGAACGACTACACCCAGGTTGTTACCCAGCATGAGGATGATGTCATGGAACTCCAGTCCTTACCCCACTGACCTCAGACGATGGACGGCCTTCTAATGTGACGTGATTTACTACAGTGGCGCAGTTTACGACAATAAATCAGTCAGTACAGCCAGGAGCTGATTTCTCTACTGAAGTTCAAATGCTGTGCTGTTTTCATTGTCCTTACGTTAGTATCGAGAACCAGAAACCAGGCTACTGTAGACTTCCTTCCGTTGGTCAAGAGATACACCACACTGCCTAAATGAGAAAAGGGACCTGACTCTTGCATGATTCCCTGTTATGTTGTGTTTATCTTCCCTTGTTAAATCATGAAATTGAAAACAGGACAGTTTGAGGTTTTCAAATGGACTTTTATGTTGCTCTCAAGTTCCTTGAAGTATATCATAGCATACTGTATATTTTCACAAATAATTTCATTGCAGCTACTACTCTGGCTCATGTATTTTTTTTCTTTTTTTGCTTTCTGTATGTGCAACCTTCAGACAATGTAAACATGATATGTACCCTGTATATACTCACCAACCTGTAAGGTTTAGCCTTATATTTTATGTTTTTTTTTTTTTTTGCAAATATCTTCCACATTATATAAAGCTTGTACAGTTTTTAAATACACTTATTGTAACCATCATCAGTTATCTCCCACCCAGTTGGTCAAAGGTCAAGGACAGAAAAAAAGGAAGAGAGGGGGGGGGGATATTTGGTGCCAACATAAGTAAGATGGCAATTACCGTTTTTTGTCATTTCATATATAATTTCTTTACAGTCATATATCCATCTTGTTGGGCAATTTATTGCTATCATATCAGCACATTTAAGATGTAGTGCCAGTGTTGTTATGGGACGGAAGCATGGAGAACAACTAAGGCAATTACTAATAAACTACAGACATTCATTAACTGGTGCCTGCGCAGAATAGAGGGAGTAACTCTCCTTCCTTTTTAGGATGAAATTTTTCGTTATTTGAAGCCCTACTCTGGCTTTTGCCAGGGGCCGCAATATAGCCTGGCCATAAATAAAGCCTAGAGGCTGAACGCTGTTTCTGGGACCTCTCCACGGTGATCCTCACCCACATGGTGGCACATTGTGTCATCAGGTGTTTATCGCTTGTGTGATGTTCTGGTGGGGTAGAAAGTCAGTCAGTCAATAGAGGGAATTAAATGGTATGATAGAATTACTAATGTAGAGCTTTTGGGAGAGAATTAAGCAAGCTCCAGTGGACCAAGAGGTGAAGAAAAGACGCTGGCGTTGGATAGGACACCCATTAAGAAAACTGGAGAACAATATACCTAAAATTATTTTGCATTAGAACCCGCAGAGGCTTAGGGATAAAAGAAGGCCAAAAAACACATGGAGAAGGGAGCTGGAGAAAAAAGAAAGATTGGGAGGACACAGGGAGAGCTGCATGCGATAGCAACGGATAGACTGACTTGGCGTGAGATGGTTGAGGGCCTGTGCTTCCTTAGGAGCTAGAAAGGCAGAAGAAGAAGCCAGTGTTTGTAACTGTTTTCTAAAGAAATTCAATAAAACCATTGGATCTCCAGTTTCTCTTTGCATTTTAAGACTCACTGTTGTTAGTGTCTGATTGTATCATTTCTCACCCTTTCCTGGGAGGTTAAACTGACAGCTTTTCTCAGACATCTTATCTTGTATTCATTGATTTTATGCATAGAGTTTTTTTATCTCTTTGACCTGAAAACAAGAACTAATGCTCTGGTTTGAAAACAAAAACCACATCAAACTAGGCCCAGCTCCTAATTTAGACAGCAGAATTATTGTTGCTGGAGGCTGTTTTTTCCTTGTTTGCTGTATTCTTGCCAATGATACATGTTTCTAAAAGCTGGACAATTGGAATGAATTCTAAAGTGCTTGTAGAATTTCTGCAACCTAAAATAAATAGTCACTGAGACAAATACAGGATCAAAGAAAACAGGACTAGTCTGTAGCATATCAATGTGTCAGATGCTTCATCACCTGCCCTTTATCCCACAGTGGAGCATAGGCCTTCAACTAAATCACACGTTAGGTCATCCTGTTCTTTCTATCACATGCAGCCTACCCTATGACCTCTCTATCTTTTTAATTTCTCTCTAACTCCCTTCTCCTTGTAATTGTTGGTCTACATTTATTTCTTTGCCTTTGTGAGTTCCATTGTAAAGACATTCTAGTTATATTGTTTTCAAGTTTTCTCAATGTTTGTCTTATTCAGTGCCAGCATCTTTTCTCCACCTCCAATTACTGGAGTTCTTTCCAAATGTTAGCGTTTAAGAAATCATAAATCAGGAGCCCACTTGGCTAACCCTCTGGCAAGTCCACAATTGTTTACAGGTTTTCATAAAGGCTGTATTTACTATTTCAGAACCAAGAAACTCACCATTCGTTTACTAGTTACAATATACAGTACACATTTCTTTACTTTTCCAATCTAATTTTAATCTTGTGTTAACTCTCCTAATTTTCAAATTGTAATTACAACACATTCTCTTCTAAAACAGTATTTTTTCAACTCTGTGAGACTAACAAATTGTTGCCCTAGGAGACAAAAAATGTAGCACAGAAACTGCTGAATTCAGCACTATCTGGGAATGAAGAGTTAACAGTCATGTGCCTAGACAGTCACTAAAATCTTGGAATTCTTGTTATCAGTTTGTTTGTTGGTCAAGGATGAGAACCAAGGTAACTTTCTGTGTTAA